GCTGGTGCCCCATCCTCACCCGTGCTGCCTTTGAGGGAGGAATTCTCTTGTGCTGCTTCACCAGCATCATTAGTGCATCAGAAAGCTGCTTGGCTTTTTTTTTTTTCCTTTCTAGTAAACTTTTTCATTGAAATAAATTTATGATGATTCTTGTAAATCCTTGGGCAGACTCTTTATAAGGAAGATTGTTGATCTAATGACTGATAACAGCAGCTAAATAATTTTGGTATATATCAGACATTTTTCTTCCAGTAAAACATATCTAAATAAAATTATTACAAGGCCAAGATGGGCATAGTGGTGCACACCTGTAATCTCAGCACTCTGGTAGGCTGAGGCAGGAAGATAGCAAGTTTGAGCCCAGCCAGGGTAATGTAATGACTTGGCGAGGGGCTGTCTCAAGAAATGAATGAATAAATGAATGAAAATTAAACTTAAAAGGTTGAAGATATACTTCAAAGGCCCTGGGTTCAATCTGTGATACTGCAAAAAAAAAATTATTATTATTTTAAAAATTGTTAAAAGGCCAAATACATTTTTTAAATGGAACTTCTTTAGTTTTAACTGAGTTAAAAAAAAAAAGTTAAACACAATTCTAGTTAAGCCACTTGAGAAACTTAAAAAGTACTGGATGATTCAGCTCAAATCTCCCTTCTCTTTATATTTGAAATTTCCAAAGAAAGATAACCTCTTCTACTTTTTTTGGGCGGTACTGGGATTGAACTCAGGTCTTTGTGCCTGTGCAGCAGGCGGTGAAACCACTGAGCTAAATCCCTGGCCCACCTCTTCTACTTTTATAAATTGCTGAGCCACTGTGAGGTCAGAATACACGTTGTCGCGCTGGGGATTTAGCTCAGTGGTTTCACCGCCTGCCTTGAAAACACAAGGTCCCGATTTCAATCCCCGGTACCAAAAAAAAAAAAGAACACACATTGTCACAAGAGACCCCTGCCCCATGAGCTCTTTTGGTGCCCTCTCTCCCTCTCCTCCTGTGTCCTGGCTGAACGAGTTGCTCACTCTGCTTTCCTGGCCTTGGCCTGTGATAGGTACTCAGCACACATAGGAACGGTGAATCCGCATCCTAAGCACCCTCAGGGACTCTCTGATTTGACATCTTTTTTAGTACCTAAAGGTTAAAAAATTGTCCATCTTGGTAGAGTGCTGTAACTGCAATAACAAAAGGTTTGTGTTTGTTTCAGAGTAAACTCAAGGATGGATGCCTGTTCTCATTTAAGCTGCATGTGAAAAATCAGAGACTCAAGGCTATAATAATATTGGGTCTTTGGTCGTCTCCTTATGAATCCATTCTTAGTGGGGAGGCAGGTGACACCCTTACAGAGAGGACCCAGGAGGTCTGTGATTCACCCACTTGAGGGCCACACTTGTGTGGTTTGCAGCGTGGAGCTATGTGGCTTTGCTCAGATCCATTATAGAACATTTTCATTGACGCCAGAGGAAACCAGCGCCCGCTGGCTGTCGCTTCCCGTTCCTGTCCAGCCCCCAGCATGTGATTGCTGTCTTTTGCCTTGGATTTGCCTGTTCCGGACTTGTCGCAGTTGTGGCCTGTTGTCTCTGGCTTTGTGGACTCACCGTCCTGGGTTCCCTGTCCGCCCATGCCTTAGCGTGGTCACTCCTCAGTCCTGTCGTTGGGCTGAGTGATGATGTCCTTCGCACTTCTGCGTCCACTGTGGTTGCTTCTACTTGGTTGCACTGAGCAGTGCCACCGTGAGCGCTTGTGTACCAGTCTCACGCTGGTCTCGTTTGAACAGGATTGTAAGGCGAACCCTTGAAGGGCCGCCCAATGTCCCCGTCCTGGTTGTACCACTTTCTGTTGGCACCAGGAGGGTGCCAGGGTTCTGGCTGCTCCACTTCCTCTCCAGCTTTGGTTCTAGCTGTCCTGGCGGGTGTGATGCGGTGTCTCATGGTGAGGCTTGTTGGGTCTTCTGGCTGGTTGATTTCCAGCCTTCTCATTTCTTATCAGCCATTTGCATATCTTTGAAGAAATGTCTACACGGGTCCCTTCTGACTTTTTCATTGGGCTTTTTCTTTTGGAGTTGTAAGAGCTTTTCATATAAATATGTTCTTAAATAGAGCTTTGAAAATTCCTTATTCTATACCATCTTTGACTTAAAATTTGGGGTTTTTTTGGAGTCAGGGTCTCATTCTGTGCTGATCCTCCTGTCTCAGCTGCCCGAGTGCTGGGATTGCAGGCGTGCACCACCATGCCCAGTGCCATCTTTGACTTTTAAGGAAACCTAAAGGGCAGTAACCCACCCAGCCTGCCTCGTTACCCGTTGATACCATTGACGCATTGTGACTGGAGACAGTGTGGGGCCATTCACCCTCTATGCTCGGGGATACTGGGGAATAAGCTGCCCCCCTGCAGGACAGGAGGCAGCAGATGGCGAACCTTTGCGCTTTCGATGATCCGTGTTCGCCACCGCTCCCTGATCTGGCTTTACTTTTAGGGTTGAAATTTGAGGTCTCCAAAAGAGGGCCAGCTTGGGGGCCAGCTGCGGGGTGGGGTGCAGGTGCAGTCAGGGGCTGCTGGAGACGGTGGACAGGCACAGAGACAAGCTGCAGGACAGTGGTGGAGGTTGCTTTGGGAGCCACCTGCTGGGTTTCTGTCCTGGGACCCACACGCGTCAGGAGGCCTGGAGGCTGGGGGTTAGAGACGCCTTTGGAAGCTGCTTCATTTCCTGGGTTTCCAGACTCATTTGCGTTGGGCACACCATTCTGGGTTCGAGCTCTGGGTCTCACTGTGAATGTGGCACATGATACAGAAAGGGCTTCTAGGCAGGCACTAGGCGGTTCGTAGGTCCCTGACTCTGTGATTGAGTGGCGCTTGGGCCTGGGTCATGTGTTCCAAGGGGTGGAAGGAATGTGGGTCTGTGTGTCCAGGAGGAGCCCAGAGGGAACATGTGTGTGCCCTGTCCCTGACCCAGGAGAGGCACAGCCAAGCTGGGGGGCGGTTCTGACCCCCGAACCGGAGGGTGTGGCCCAGCCAAGCAGCCCGTCTGCCCCACCCCGGGTCAGAAATCTGTTTACTGAGGATTCCTGTGAACTCTTCTTTCTGCGTAGCAGCAATTCACTCTTTATCCCCTCATTACTGGGGATTGAACCCAGGCCTTTCACACTGAGCTACATCTCCAGCCCTTTTTTGTTTAATTTGACACAAGGTCTCCCTAAATTGCTAAGTTACCAGGCTGGGCTCAAGCTTCTGATCCTCCTGCCTCAGCCTCCTGTGTGCTGGGATCATAGGCAAGTGTACCATACCCAGTTTATTCTGAAATTACTATAAGTTATTATAAAATAATTTATCACAAATAATTTCTAATTTATCAAGGTTCAGAGATTAGTACTGCTTTGTTTTTTAAAGTCAAAAGTTACTAAAGAGGAAGTAGAGGCCACCTGGAACCTTACCTTATCGTGAGCGCAGCCGACTGGCATTGGGCTTATGTTTTAGGTGTTTCATTTAAAATGGAAAGTTCCAGTTTGCTTTGGGGCCAGAATCCTTAAAAGAAACCCAGCCTGGAGGTGTGTTGTGGGTCAGTGTATATTTTCGAGTTTATGTCTTGCTGACTAAATTGGCAGAGTTTGTGTTTTTTCCTGGTAAATACTCAGAAGGCCTTGCCCTCCCTCCTCGGCCTAATAAAATCCCCTTTGTCGTATGTGCTTGAAGTAAATGGCTGTTAAAACGTCCTCAGCCTGTGACGGCATGAAAGTCAGTGCAGCACACAAAGGCCTCTTTTCTCAGGCCCCAGGGCCGTGGTGGGGTTGGCATCCTCCTGACTTGGGTCAGCCTTTGGCCAAGGGACAGAGTGGTCGGGGCCCAGAGACACACCAGCCACATAAGCAGAGGGTTCTTCCTCGTGGGAAATGGAGGTGCTGCCCTACAGGATTTTTTCTTGAAGTAATTATGACTCTCGTTTGTGAATTTTAGATGACACAAACCTTTATTTATTAAGAAAGCTCATGCTAATTTTCATTCCAAATGAGGTACAAAGTGTTTTAATGAAAAGTACTAAGAAGTCAGCTTGAATCAAAATTAGAACTCCAGCAAAGCCCTGTAATCTCAGCACTTGAGAGGCTGAGGCAGGAGGATCGGAGGATCCAGAGTTCCTGGCCAGCCTGGGCCATATATTGAGACCCTGTTTAAAACAAACAAACAAAAGACACCTAAGTTGAGGGTCTACCTTTGAAACGTTGGTTTTTTTTTTTGGTACCAGGGATTGAACTCAGGATCTTGGCGCTTGCAAAGCAGGAGTGGTGACACTGAGCTAAATCCCTGGCCCCCCTTTGAAACATGTTTTGAGAACCACACCTATGTATCATGCTGTGATAAATTGCATGTTGAAACTTTTGTGCTGATATTTTTCATATACCATTTTTAATAAGAATAAAATGTTTACTCATTAAACAGTATATTGTTTGTTTGTTTGTTTGTTTGGTCCCAGGGATCGAACTCGGGTCTTTGCACTTGTGAGGCAGGCAATGGAACCACTGAGCTAAATCCCCAGCCCTAAACAGTGTATTCTTATTCCTTTTAACTTCAGGAGCAAATGTGAACTGTTAGCCCATATATTTTCCTCATTCTTAAAGAAAGTAGCATAATAAAAACAGCACACAGGAAGAGCAGGTAGCACAGGTGCAGGGCAGAAGGTTCTAGTCTACACTGCAGAGGCCTTCCACATTTTAAATTAACTTCTCAGACTGTTGACGGCAAGTACTGGTTTTCTCCCCTCTGCTGTTCTGTTGTAACTTTTTGTCTTAAACTCTGCCCTAAAGAGGGACTGGGCTTGAAGACCACGTTGATGTCAGTGTTGCCTGGCAGTGACATGTCCCAGACCGAGTTCCCAGCTCGGCAGGCTACCATGCAGCTGTGGAAAACTTTCCACTGGGAGTAGTTTTGCAAGGCCCCGGGCGGGCAGGGAGCCTGGGGACCGGGATGGGGCCACTTGTCCCGCCTGCTGACCACAGCCTCATCTCTTTCTGCGTAGGTGAAGCTGCTCTCAGGGGAGAACCCAGGATGCAAACCCTCCCGGTGACCTCTGCCCTGGGCACCCACCGCACTGGCCCGCCCCCCATCAGCCCCAGCAAGAGAAAGTTCAGCCTGGAGCCAGGCGACGAGGACTTGGACTGTGAAGCTGACCACATCACCAAGATGGGCCGCATCTTTAGCCCCCACCTGTAAGTCCCCGCTCTGCTCCAGGCCGGGACTGGTGTCCCTGCAGCTCGTGCCTGTGACGAGGTTGGCATCTCCTGAGCTATGGTGTGAGGCCCAGAAGGGGCTCATTTGCCGTTACAGCCCTTGGAGTCTGGAAGTCTTCCTTCTGCCAACCCATGGGCCCATTGTGTGTCCCTCCTGAGTGACGCTGCCCACGGACTCCTGCCTGTGCATACTGACACTGACCTGTGTGTCCCCAAGTTGGCAGGTGGCTGTGCAGACTCCGGTGGCCTTGTTACCTCGGAACGTGGGTCTGCACAGCATGTGAGCTTTCTTCCCGGTGCCCCACAGGCGGACCTGAGGCCTCATGAGATGGGACTGCAGGCTGTCATGGTTGGGTGGCATGTCCCAGCTTACTGAAGCCCATGGCCTAGTGCCAGGAGACTGGGACTTGGGTCCTCAGTTGGCCATCAACATGAGCTGCCATCTTGGCTCAAGCCACTCTCACTCTCTAGGCCTCAGTTTCCTCAGTTGTGAGTGGGTGGCATGGTTCGCTTCTGCTGGAGCACCACCCCTTCGCACCCTCTTCTTGTGCCCAGCACGGCTTCCCCCTGGGTTCCCGATGACGGGAGCAGTGACTTTGTGTGTCCTGCTAGAAAGGGCTTGCTCCCTGTCCCCACCTGAGCTGAACCCCAAGCACAGATAAGATGCCAGCTGGCCCCAGCCTGGCCCCGGCCTTTCCATGCAGTCCTGAGGATGCTGCGGAGCCAGCCCAGCAGGAAGGTGCACCCTGGCCCTGCCTGGAGGCGGAGGCTCCGCATGGCGCAGCCCAGTCCTCAGTCCTCACATTCCTTGCATTCCAATCTGCCTGGCCCTGGTGTGTAGTCATGAGACACTGACAGAGGTATTTATCCTCAGATAAATCACTGCAGTGTTAGTCACAGGCTGAGCCTGCAGCCTGCAGCCCTGGAATCTGCTCCATCAGGAATCTGGCTGCCTGCAGAACAATGAGCCCTCGAAGGCTGGCAGCCCTCTGCAATCCAGCCTCTGAGGCTGGAGTTTGTTCTTTTATTACTGAGAATTTCTTACTCCCTCCCATCCCTGTCTCCCAAGCCCAGAGCCTTTTTGTTTATTTTGGAAGGAAGGGGGGAGGGGAGCCTAGCAGTGTGACTAGGGGTCAGATGTCCTCGTCCTTGCTTTGCTGGTTCCTGTCCCGACTCTGCAGCTCTGCAGCCGGGCAGGGCGCTCCATGCTGTGAGGACAGCAGGGCCGCCTGTGCCCCGTGGCTCTTTGGTGGCTCTGGGGTGACCAGGAAGCCCAGGTCTCCCACGGCAGGCACTGCAGTTGCCATTGACAGAATTGTTAAGTTCTGTGCTTGCCATCACTGGGCTGTCTCCGGAATGTGGAGTCCGTGGCACCTAAGCTCAGCATCCGTCCGCAAGGGAATTTTCCTGTTTTTATTGTGATAAAGACACGATAACGTGCATCATCAGAATCTATTTGTTTTGGATACTTTTTTGGGTACCAGGGGTTGAACGGAGGGCCTGCACAATGAGCTCCATCCCAACCCTTTCTAGTTTTTTTGGTACCGGGGATTGAACTCAGGTCCTTGCACTTGTGCAGCAGGAGGTGAAACCACTGAGCTAAATCCCCGGCCTCCTTTTTAGTTTTTGAGACAGGGTCTTGCCAAGTCACGAAGTTGCCTAAGCTGGGCTTAAACTTGTGATCCTCCTACCTCAGCCTCTGAGTGCTGGCATTACAGGTGTGCACCGCCACACTTGGTTCATTGTAACCATTTTTAAGTGTAGAGCGTGGGAGAGTTTTTGAACTGTGAGGTAGGAAGGTGATTGGTGTGCGGTTTGTTCTGGGGCCCCTTGTTGGTTGTGTGATATGGATTAAAATGACACAGGGATGATATAAGCACCTCCAAGTAATATAAGGGAAATGTTGTAACTCCCAACCTGTTGGATGCCTGCTATGCTGAGTTCGTGTTCTCTAAAATCGAAGAATGAATTCGAGGAACAGTGGAGGTGTTAAGAGTAGGAAATATTTGAGGGAAAGATAGCTTCTGTCTGAGAGAGACAGAAGGGGACTCAGAAAGGGGGTTGCCTGTGAGCCCACTTCTCAAAGAAATTTATAGAGCAAAATCACGAGGTGGGCATAAGGTGGAAGAAAACTGGTCAAGCAGTAAGATTACAGGTGTAGTCGCTTCCGTAATATTAATCCAATGGGGCAGCAAATCGCGTAGCAAGCGTGCGTGGAAAGAACAAGGGCCTGACCTGGAGGGATGGGCTGAGGTCTTGGTTGCCCACCCGGTGATTGATGCCCATGTAGAATGTCAGTCATTGTGGTTTATCCCCGGGGAAGTAGGTGTGGTCACGCCATCTTTGTCCTGAGGCCTGGCCTTCAACAGATGTGTCCACCTACAGCTGTCATGTTCTCATCCACTGCACTGACTTCTTCCAGGGCCTAGCCCTGCCTGCTTGCCTGCAATATTTCTGCCTAACTCGGCTGTCTATAGTATCAGTGAGGTTGGCAGTGTCTGCTATGTTTCCAAGGAGCCTAGTGACCGCTCCCTCGCAGTGTAGGGTGCACACAAGTACTGTGGTGTGCTAAAATGCTTCCTGCTCGAGCATTAGCAGCTCTCCCCTTTTTATTTCTGTTGTCTAATAAGTTTTCTGTAATACATTATGGGCTCATAGTGATGGGGACAGGAATAGCCTTAGCGCCTTTGTCCCCGGAAGGAGAGAATGAGTATTTGTTCACAATGTGCAGTGAAGATGTGTTGGGTTTCTTTCTCAAAGAAGTGAAGAGGGGCTCAAAGCTGCAGGTTTTGGTGGTGGTCTGTGTCACCCTCACGTGGGGATGGGGATGGGGATGGGGATGGAGCCAGGCAGGGACTCGGTGTGGGTGTGGGGAGGAAAGCGATTCTCCAGCTCCTGCAGGGACCTCTGCTGGCGCCGCTGGGCCCTCACACCTGCCCCTCACATCCTGGGCCACTTGAACTTGTTTTTAATGTTCTTATTAACAGGGTGTCGTGGAGAGATACGTATCTTCACTTGATCTTAGCCAAAAGGCCAAGAAGCGATAGAGATATATATCTTAAGACAGGTCTTGAGATCAGGGTGTTAAGGTCAGTCCTCCGCCTGTCACTGGGAAAGGGGGTGCCCACAGTGGTGGGCGGGAGTGGGGTTCCTTTCTGGAAATGTCCAAAAGGCACTCTTTTGTCATGGCCCTGCTCCTGGGTTGACTGCCCTTCCATGTGCTCGGGGGATCCCTGCTCTATCCAAGGGCTGTGCCCTTCAGCGCGGCTCTTGTACCCTGTTCCACTCTGGCTGTTTTGTTGTTCTTGTTGACCATGTTTTTTGTTTGCTGGTGGCCCAGACATCCTGAGCTCATCTTCTAACCCTCTGCCTGGCCAGGGGGTTGACGTGTTCCTGGGGAGCCCTGGGTCTTTCCCTGGGGAGCCACTGTGGCTGTGTAATGTTACATGGTACCTTTCTGTCACTGCACCGTAGCCACTGCTGGACTTGGGTCGTCCCCTATTCTCGGGAGCCTTCTGTGAGATTTACATTTAAATTCAGCCCAAGCATGGGCCAGTGTGCAGCTCAGTGGTGAGCATTTGCCTCACCAGCATCAGGCCTTGGGTTCCAACCCCAGCACTGCTGAATAAGAAATCAAATGAAACAGAATTAGAAATCTGTATCCTCAGTTGCACCAGCTGCATTTCAAGGTCATTGGCCACCCATGGCAGTGGCAGTGGCAATACTGGGCTGCACCATGGGCCAGTACTGTTGCAGGCTTCTGCATGGAAGGCCCGGGAACCCAGGAGGTCTGGGACTACACACACACACACACACACACACACGCACGCACGCACGCACACACACACACCCCTCTCGCCCTGCGCCCATCCCTGTGTACCTCTCTGCCCCACCGTGAAACCATGCCCAGTGCCACACTCCTGCCTGTGTCCTTCTCGAGCAGCACATTTCTGAATCACTGCGCCCATGGCGCTCTGACAAACAGCAGAGCTCAGCGTTGTTTGCAGTTAGCATTTCTTCTCTGCACCAGGGTGTATTAGTCAAGAGTATCAAGTTCCTTCGTGACTCCCACTTACTTCCCCCGCCAGGATCGTGTTATGTATTCATGTCTGCTTGCATTGAATTTAGACTTTCCTCGTCTTTGTTGATTTAATTTTATTTTTTGAGCACGGGGGACATTTAGTGTGCTTCTGAATATGCAACTATTAAAGCATGCTTGGCACTTGGTGCCTCCATCCCGCCCATCCTCTGAGTTTTTTTTTTTTTTGGTACTGGGGATTGAACTTGAGTCCTTGCACTTGTGCAGCAGGCGATGAAACCACTGAGCTAAATCCCCGGCCCATCCTCCAAGTTTCTTTTTGGTGACTGGAGCCAATGCTTGAATGCTGTGCTCTGCTTCTTGCTCACATGCAAGGGAGTCTGCTTTTCTCCCGTGACCTTGGTGCTTCATTTGGCAGTACATGGTGGAACATGCTAGCCAGCTCCCTGCTCCTGTTCATGGCTACATAGTACTCCGCCACCTCCCAGGCCAGAGTTCATTGTCTGGGCCTGGTGGTAGTTCTGCCAGTAATGATGTGATGGTTGACCTGGTGGAGTCTGGATTTCTCAGATTTGTAACATCTGAAAGCAAGCAGGGCAGTAGATGCAGGTGCAAAGTGGCCATGTGCTGGCTTGCAGAGCCTGTGTCTGGGGGCTGTGAGGTTTGAGTGGGTGGCCTGCTCCTGCTTAGGGGAGCACACTTGCGGGGACCTTGCTCTGGCCCCAGCTCGGGGCGGAACTCACAGATTGCCTGCATGGCCTTGGAAGGAGGGGCTGTGGCCTGGTCGGATCCCAAGAACAGTTGGGTACCTTCTGGTTTTAGGGTTTGGCTGTGCTGGGCGTGGAACCCAGGGCCTGTGTGTGCTAGGTGAATGCTCACCACCAAGCCATACCCTCCGCCCTAAACAAGGGTGTTCAGTATGCCAGGGAAGAGCAGTTTT